TAAGCAGTCTGCTTTCATATTATTCCAAACACTTGGCCAGGTACACAGATGCAGGGGGTTTCAGAAGCACAGTTCCAAACCTGATGCCTATGAATAGTATGACTTACAGTGAGTCTCTGTCACTCATGGCTTTCAGCACAAAGCACACAGCATAGGTTGTACTGATGATGATGTACTATGTACTAGTAGTTAGAGCAAGTGCTCTAAACTGGTTAGTAATCTCACTCACAGTGAAAAGGACACCAACAAACAAGCACTCTGGCTCAGTGACACACCAAAGTCAAGGAGTGCTGGAGTGATACTGCCACTCGATAGATGGTGACAAGGTGAAGCTGTGTCATGCTTTTAGAAGCTTCTAAGGACAAACCAAGCAAAACCAAAGCCCACTCTGGCCCTCGATCTCTAAACACTTACTGCTACTGTATGCTCAGCTAAAGGGGTGATGCTGGAACATGAGGGGCCATCAGGATCTTTTGGAACAGTTTGCTTTTAAAGAAACAAATAGACAAATAAACAAGAGAGGAAGCAGGTACCAGTAGGAAATACTCATCTGCAGAGCGTACCTTGTTCTCATCCGTGGCCTTTGCTGGAGAGGAGCTCCGGGAGTTGCTGTTCATCATGGGTCCTGGTCCTGGGTCTGCAAGAGGCCAGAGAATGAATTAGACTCACATGGGTTCTGAAAAGAATGAAGGTCCCACATGCAGAAAGTCCTTAGGCCCCTTACCAGAAGCAGAGTTTTTCCCAGATGCCTCTGATGGCCACCGAGGACGAGGTAAATGCCTGTCCAATGACCCTGGGAAAGAAACAACAGAGCCCTTGACATGTAGTTTTCAGGGGGAATCAGTCTGTTGTGGCTAGGGTTCAACTCTTAACTAAAGAGCAGCACTACAAATAGATCTGCTAGGTGAGGTAACACATGCCTGCAATCCCAAAGAGGGGTCTCAAAATATGAGTCACAATTTACACAGACTTCAATATTGAAGCAGAAGTTGCCCCAGTTTCTGTAAATTTATTTCTAGATTATTTTCCTTTATTTTATGGGCATTTTGCCTGTATGTATGTGTCTGTTCCACCTGTGTTCAGTATGCATAGAGGTTAGGAGAGTGTGTCAGATACCCTGGGACTTGAGTTAAAGGTGGTTGGGAGCTGCCATGTTGGTGGTATGAAGTGTGAACTTAGGTCTTCTGGAAGAGTAGCAAGTGCTGCTAACCACTGAGCCACCTCTCCAGCCCCAAGACTGCCTTGGTTTTAAAGATAACCAATGGACTTTGTAGTAAGAATATTGTTCTGTAGCTTGAATCTCTGACAGCAGTGTACTGGTTACATCTCTGAGTCTGACTTCTAACCTTTCTTAGCGTCACAGACAGAATTTAAACTTCAGTTAAATTTCAAAGTACAAATTATTCTTACAAAGCAAAGCAGGTGCCTCTAGAAGGCTATACATCTTTCTGTCCTATGGCAGCGCTTACAGTGACCCCCTTCTGTTCAGGGACAGCTCTGAATTCTAACGGAAGAACCCCTTCACCTCCTGACAGAGACCCCTTCTGTTCAGGGACAGATCTGAATTCTAAGGGAAGAACCCCTTCACCTCCTGCAGTACAGAGGGCTAGGTACACCAGTGCTCACCACATTCACTTCTAGGCATGTCTCTTCGACTGAGTGTGGCAGAAAGAGGTCTCCCAGGTGGCTCTGCTGGTGGGGGAGGGGAGCATTCACCAGCACTCACAGGGGATGGGCCAAAAGAACCATTCTGGCTCAGACCTGAAGACAGCAATGCCTTGTTACCACTCTGTGACAGCCCCTTCCCTCCAGGAAGCTCAGGAGTCTTTCTAGGGTATCATCCCTATTACAGAAGTCAAGTTTTATTTCCACACATTCCACACCAAAATCCTGCTGCCTTGTACAAAGTGCTTCCTACCTCTTCGGGGAGGATTTTGTGTATTCGGTCTTCCTGGCATTGGTTTTATGATCACAGGTTCATCTTGACTCAATACCATCTTTTGGGTCAGTTCCAATAATCTTGAATATTGAGAAAGAATGGACTTAAAATGAAATAGCAATCAAATCCTTATTACATACCAGCTAGCATACAAACACTGTAAAAGCACTGAAAAATGGGTTTCAAAACTCCATACTTGTGCCTTAAGTTGGCAGCCTCTCTCTTCTCCTCTGCCAAGGATCTCTCTGCAGCACGAGCTTTGAGCTGTAGGAGAGAAAGGCATTGTGATCAGATGTGGCAGTCTGTGCACAAAAAGAAAAAAAAAAAAGAAAAATCCTTACCCAGTTTTCATGAGCTTTCTTCTCATGAGCAGCAATCTGAAAAGACAACACACCAAATACATGTTCAGGCTCTTTATAATGTCCATTTTAACATATATTAGCTTTCAAAAACAATCTGCAACTAATGTAGGCCAATATAGTTTTTACCTGGCTTTTAAATGATCGTTCTGTTTTATGTAATTCTTCTTCCATTTCTTCAATTCTCCGCCTAAGAATTATACTCAGCATTATCACTTAAAACACAACTGGATAAAATTGGCAACAATCCAACAAAGTTCCCTTGACTCTGAACAGCTACAGTTTTAAAGATGTTACCAGACATACAAAAACATGTTTTATATAAATTTACTCAAAAGTACAGCATAATCAAACAAACACATTAATTTTCCTGTCATTTCATGGCTAGATAGTCTTAGATTATCATTTCCTTAATGGTCTTCAATATATTCTCAAAAAATCCCACTATGAATATCTGCTTCTATACAACTACACAACTTTTTTTTCTTGTATCAATAAAAAATTAAACAGGCTAACGACTACTGATCTATCAAATGGTACAATTACTGCAATGATTTTTGAAGTCACATAGCCAACTGTGTTCTTTAAAGACTGACTCTAAAATAGCGGTTCTCAACCTATGGGTTAAGACCCCTTTGGCAAACCTCTACCTTCAGAAACACATTATAATCCATAAGAGTAGTAAAGTTACAGTTATGAAGTAGCAAGAAAGTAATTTTATGGTTGGGGTCGCCACAGCATGAGGAGCTGCATTAAAGGGTGGCAGTCTTAGGAAGGTTGAGAACCATTGCTCTAATATATAAAACTCCTTCCCATCATGATTCCTCAGCCATCTGCAGGAAACAAGGGCCTCTACCGTCCTTCAATCTGCAAGCTAAGTAAATATGTGTTAGCCCTTTACATTTCTTTTTCCCTCTGTGAATGGATGAATGGATGAATGAATGAATGAATGAATGAATGAATGAACTTAGTTTCTATGCTGCTTTCTACTACATAACGGTTGTAGAAACGAAGCACAACCCTGTATGAGGCCCCTGTCCCTGTGCAGAGCTTGAACTTACTTGTAAGTTTTGACTTCCTCTGCAGCCGAAACCACCTTTTCATCTGCAGCTGACAGCCGCTGCTCTTTGTTTTGCCGCTCATACTCTTCTTGACTCAGTTTCCTAGGATAAGCCAGTTATTAAGTCAATGTCTCTCCTTATAATGTCAGCTCTCTGTCACTTCCTATCCTCTGGTTTTGGTTTGTTTTTGAGACAGTCTTTCTCTGTGTAGTCCTGGCTGTCCTGGAACTCATTCTGTAGACCAGGCTGGCCTTGAACGTGGAGATCTGCATGCCTTTGCTTTGGGGATTAAATATGTGTGCTTTCCTGTCCTGTGGGAAACAGCAATGTAATTCAACTAAAGCAGGGGCAAATGCTTTTTTCTGCCCTGTGTGTTTAAAATATTAAATACTTTTTTAGGTTGTCCTAGAACTACTGGATAAAAGCCAGGCGTGGAGGTGCACACCTATAACCCAGCCCAGCAGGGGGAGGCAGAGACAGGCAGATCCCTGAAGCTCATTGGCCAGACAGCCTAGAAGAATAGATGCTCTTCTAGTCAATAAGAGATATGTCTCAAAAAATAATATAGGTAGACATCAAAGGAGGAAAAGACAGCCAACTATGACCTCTGACCTCCACACACCTGTGCACGTGTGCTTACCCCATCAGTACATGTAGTGCACATATATAGAAAACCAGCATCTAATACAAGCATGCACACACACACACACACACACACACACACACACACACACACACACACACACAACCACACACACCCACCACACACACACACACACACGCACACACACACACACACACACACACACGGGAAACAAAGCACTAAGGAGAAGCCAAGTCCCTGTTACTTATAAAGTGGAGAAACTGTGCATGAACTTTAGACAAGGTGGGGCTGCACGGCTAGGAGTGGGACCTTACTTCTGCAGAGCCATCTCCTTTTGCTGGTAGAGCTCATTCAGGATCTCCACTTTCTGCTTCAGAGTTTTGCACTCATCTTCTAGCTCAGCTTTAGCAGTCTGCAGCGAGTTTCGGTCACCTTCCAATTTCTTGATTTGGTCTGTAAGGGATACAAAGGTTTTCCCTGTGTGTGCAGAGGCTTGAGAGAGAGGACTGGGGTGAGGGGGGCAGTTCTGAGAAGTGAGAAGCACAAATGCTAGGACCTATTTATCTTTTTAGTCAAATTTTAAATCATTCTAATATAATAGCAATTTTGTGTCTAGAAGAACCTACCTTCCAGGTTACATCTAGTGGACATTGACGCGCTTATCTTAAGTTGTAAAAGTTTTAGATCCTCTTCAACTATTGAGACTGCAGTTTGTGTCTAAAAATTACAGAAGAAAGAGTGAGTCTTAAAAGTGAGCCATAGGAAGGACTCCTGGATGCTTCTGGGACTACAAACAGGACGATACCCGAGACACGTCCATCATCTCCTTCATTCTGTTTTTCATCTTCTCACTTCTGTCACCTACAAGAGAAAAGGCTTCAGTTGCTTTCTCTTCCTTGCCTTGTAATGACATTTCCATGATTTCCCTCAGACAATGATCATATCCAAACAGTGGAATGAAAATAAAACCAACTAAGAGACCTGATTAACTGATTTAGAATTGAAAATGTAGATGCACAAAGTTGATTACCAGTTTGTTCAATAAAAAACATCATCCTGCACAAAGAAATCCTGTCTCGGAAAAAAAAAATGTCATCCTTGCTCCAAGGCCTTTGTTCTCCCTTGAATCTGCTGCTGGGTGTGATTTAAAGCACCCGCAGTGACAAGGAGCAGTTGCTATGCAACTGGGAGACATGGGAGACAGTTCTTCATCAGTTAACATGCTGGCCTCTAGCATCCGATGATGCAACTCTAGCTTCTTACCCCACAGCTTTAGCTGTGATTCGAGTCACCTCAGTTAAGAGCAGAGCTACAGAGACCACTCGACAAAGGATGAGGCAGTGTTTTAATACTTAGAGGCCTGAAATGACTGAAGCAGCTCTACTGTCCATGTCAGGGTCCTTTGCATGCCTACATTATACTACACCTGAGTAACCCACCTGGCCCAACACAGACTTAAACATCTACAAGTCCAGTGGTGTGAGCCCATAGCCAGAAAGCTTGCCACAGCTGAAAAGCAGCCTCAGTGAACTGAAATTCAGGTCAAGAGGGCAAAACAGGCCCAACTGCTCAGAGACAGATCTTACCTCCCACTTCTCCATTGGCCAACTCATCTGACTCATCTCCTCCTTGATTCTGATCCTCAGACTCAAGTTCACACTCTAACCGATTCACCTGTGTGATGCACTTAGTCAAAGCCTAGAAAAGAAGCAAATGGTGTAAAAGCCTCTTGATTCTAAACCAGCAGAATTCACAGGGTTAAGTGTGTACTCATGAGGATAAACTTACATTAATATTGCTATCTTTGTGAGTAAGAGCTACTTCTAAGTCCTTCTGGGCCCTCTTGATTGTCTTGATTTGTTCAGTGAGCTCAGCATTCGATTTACCCCACTCTTCAATCTGCTGCTGCAACTGAAAAGTCAAAAAATATGAATTCCTATGGTACAGGGGTGTGTACAGGAGACATCTGATATGTGAGTTGGGGTTAGGAAGACACGTCTCTCCTTGGCATGTCACTAGGAGCTAAAGTATCAGTAAAGAAAAGGGGTGAATGGTTCCAACCCTCAGAGATGCAGGAAGAACATCGGTTTGATCAGGGAGGTTGACCAGATGACTTCAGCCTTCAGGACATGATACTAATTCAACTTAATCACTTCCAGGATGAATGGCTGGGCACATCTCAGGCTCCCAAGTCCAGACTCTGATCATATAACCTCCTCTGGGTCAGTAAGGAAATAACTAGTCAAAGACTGGTATAAAATACCATCTCATATAAAAATAGTTCAACAAATGACTGGCATTTGACAAGAATAAAATAAACCCCCTGAGTGCTGCCATGAATTGTACAGAAAACTCACAACACAGACATTTGCTCAATCTGAGAAGCACGGTTTCTACTTCCCAACCCCCAGCCTGAGTACTCCTTTCCTTAAAACAGGTCTAAGAGAAGATACTGAAAGGACATGCTATCTCCCATTAGGTGAACTTGCCTTACCTGCTCTTTCTTTTTCTTAAGCCTGGCATTTTCTTCTCGGACCCGATGGCATTCAGATTTTACATTCTCTTCACTAAGCTTGGCTTCATTAAGGGCAATTTGAACCTAATGTGAAACACTCCCAGTTAGTAAATAAATTGCAAAAGGAAAACGTTATATTTTCTCAAGCACATATCATTCGAGTTTCATCTTTTACATGTTTTAGCACACATCAAACTTTTGTTCAACCAGACTAAGACAATGCTATTACTCGTGTGTAGGACACACAGGCAGCCTCACCTCTGAAAGTTCCGACGCATTCATTGAAATGACATCCTTCAACTTCTCAATAGTCTTCTTGTTTTCCATTACCTGACCCATGAAAGCAGAGCACAGAGCCTCAGGTCTCAGCAGAGTCACTAGTGCGCACACATGCTACCTTCATTTGCTCTCTATTGCTGTGATAAACTGTGGCCAAGAGCAACTTGGGGAGGAAAGGGTTTATTTCTGCTTACAGCTTACAGTCCACCATCTAAGAAAGTCAGACCAGGAGCCTGGAGGCAGGAACTGATGCAGAGGCCATAGAAGAACACTGCTTACTAGTTTGCTTTCCATGGCTTACTCAGCTCACTTTCTTGTAGTTCCTAGGACCACCAGATCAGAGGTAGCTCTGCCTATAGGGAGCTGGGCTCTCCCTCATCAATCATCAATTAGTAAACTGTAGCACAGGCTTCCTCAACAGGCCAATCTGATGAGGGCTTTTTCTCAACTGAACTTCTCTGTTGACATAAAACTAGACAACACACACACTAAAGGAAGAAACATTAATAAGCATATCGCTTAACAGCCTATGTTTTTGGTAAAAGTAAGGAATCCAATTTTGGCCTGGGGAGGGTCAATGCAATAATAATCCAAGCTTCTTAGTTATGAGATAATACAGCATCTGACCACATAAAAAGATGAAAGAAAATAAAACATCTTTCAACTAAAACTTAAAAAAAAAATTCTCTGCCTAGCCAAGCCTGCTAATATACCCTATTTAAGAGGCTGGGGCAAAAGGATCATGAGTTCGAGGCCTGTCTTGGCTACAGATAGGGTTCAAAGCCAGCATGGGCAACTTAGTAGAGACTGTCTCAAAATTAAAAAATAAAAAGGGGTAGTGCTGTGGCTCAACGTTAGAATACCCACTTATCCTGGGTTCGACACTAAGGTCAGAATCCCAGAGTGGGGTGGGGGTGGGGGTGGGGGAGTCCATTGCCTATACTGAAAACAGTAGGATTTGGAGGAAAATAGATAAATCTCATAAGAAGAATTCCAAAGATTTTATAAAGACACCACCAGCTCCTCAAGGAGGTGGAAGATGTAATTCCTCCCTCTAACTGTGAGCCATACATAATGTTCTCCAAAGAATACAGTAAATGAAGAGAGAACTGTGGCTACTGTTTCTTTAGCTGGGTGATTAGCTCAGCTGGGGTAGAGATGAGAGGTCTATTTTCTCTGCAACTGCTATATGAAACTGAAATAAGTTTATTGCAATGAGACTTGAACCATTCAATGAGGCTAGAATTCCTAGCTGCTCCACCTGTTCTAGAAAGCACAGCTAAACTATTGGCAATCACCCAGCGATGAGAACAAAGGTGCTCTTCCTATGCCCATAAGAATAACTTGTTGGGTTACAAGTTAAAATTCTCCAAGATAAGCCACAGTAGGTTCAACTTCCCTGACTCCTATTTTCGATTAAGTTAGCAGCAAGGACAGTGCTGCCCTCATTACAGAAGCACTCCATCACCAGTTAGCAGCTAAGCTTACCAAGTCCTGATCCTTGGTGCTCTGTTCTCTTTCAGATTCTAACATAAGATGAAGACTTTTGGCCTTGTCACCCAGAATTTTATTAGTTTCTTCAAGTACCTTGATTTTATCCTTAACAAAAACAAAGACACTGAGATTAGCAAGAATTACTTATCCCATTCATTTTCTCTTTTGGAATGTAATTCTTCCCAAAAGACATTTTTACCTTGTATTTGACAGCTTCATCAGAGAGAATTGTGTTTTGTTTCTTGGTTTCTTGATCATGTTTCTTTGCCTCTTTGATCTAGGTAAAAGAAAGTGTTTAGGGTTAATAGTTGTAACTTAGAATTAACTACAAATTATAATGCTACCAAAGTCATGTCCAAGTGCACAACCTCATACAGAAAGCAACCTCTTAACGTCTTGGATGGCTCTTAGGAAATGATGACGTAAAATATGTATCTTAAAAAGATCACAAACAGAATGTTAAGGCAGAAATGCTCAAGCTGGAATGAGGGAAAGAAGTTAGAATAATTATACCTTTTGTTCATAATCTGACAATTTTTGCATAAGTTCTGCGTTTTCTTTCTTGATAGTCTCCAACTTCTCAGAAATTTGCTTCTCAGTAACTAAAAAGAAGGGAAATCTGTAAGTTTGTGAGCCTGAGATAAAGCTGGATGCCCTAGTATACTAGCAGCAAAGGCATGTTGTCGGGCACTAAAAAAGGAAAACATACTTTGCAGGACTGTTCTGCCCTTAAAGGCAGTCCGTAGTGATTGCAATAAGGGTGTAAGAATATTAAAGTTTTGGAAAATACAGTACAAAGACTTTAAATTTACTTTAGAGATACAGAATTTAAGGAAATGCCACAACTTGCTTCCATCTCAGAAAATGGGATCACTTCAAATGTCATTTGCAAATAGAAACTGAGAAATACAAAATACCAGTGCATTCCACCATCCCACACGCCATCTACTCTAATAAGGACTTAATGTGGTCACATGTAATAAGTCTGCACTGCACCGACATTCAAAGTTGAACTGCCCACGGTATCTAACCCGGGTCTCCCCACTCCCTCAGGGTTCTATCAGTCAAGCTGGTGGCCTAGAAACAGTAAACTCCAGGAGTCATGGCATCTCTGTCTAGCTTACAGAAAACTCACATCAAACACCAAAGGGTTGAGACAAAGGAAAATGAACCTGAAGATTTACCTTGATATACTCTACTCTTTACCTAGAAGAAAAGAAATAAAATAGAATTTGTTGTCAAAACCTAATTAGCATATTGTTCCTAACACAGAGGTGAGAATCATAAACAAATGAGAATTTAGCAACAACTTGGTTCAGGATAATAAATCCTTACTATTAAAACTTAAAGGCTGGGCTGGTGCAATGACTCAGCAGGCAAAGGTGGCATTCTAATTCCATCACCAGGACCTACATGGTGCAGAAGCTGCAAGTTGTGCTCTGATCTGCACAGGTGCACCATGACTCAAATGCATACAAATAAATAAATAAACAAACGCAATCTTAAAAAAATTAAAAAGACAAAGCTAAAAGGCACTGCAAATATAATTGGTACTAATACTTCATAAATAGCCTCATTAGATAAAAACACTAAGATGTGTATCTTGTTTTGCAGCTAAAAGTATGCTTGTGCATCTATTAAAAGAGCACCAATCAGGCTGGAGAGATGGCTCAGCCATCAAAGGCTAGGCTCACAACCAAAGAGCATCAATCTTAAGATACAAGCACTGATGCTTAATAACACACATGGCTACTACCTTAGCAATAAACTATCAATAATTTGTTTACTTGATATGATCCGACAAGCCCCAATAGCTAGAATAAACTGGAAATCAGCGTTCAAATGGAAAACAAAACTAAAGGGAAAATCTTTGTCTTTAGATATGCACTCACCAGAAGACATCCTAGAAATCCTATTCAAAGTTGTCTACCTGCTGAATTTAGAGATGATAGATAGGGTTGGGGTGGTGGATACAGCACTTGCCATGCAAGTGAGGGGCCCTGAGTGGGAACCCCAGAACCCAGGGGAATGAATGGCAGTACATATCTGTAACCCCAGGGCTTCTACAGTGAGATGGAAAGCAGAAGAAAAGTTTCCCAGAATCCCACAAGCCAGAAGCCTGCCAGATGCAGTGCTGAACAATTAAAAAACAGGAAGGCTAGGACTACACCAGGGGTTTGCCTTTGAGTTCCACATATGCGCGCACACACACACACACACACACACACACACACACACACACACAAACATGGACACATAAACTAGGGATCTGGTAGTGTATCATGTGACTTCCAAGACTGCTAACAATGGTACAGTGGTACTAAACCTGAAAACGATGCTCTTCCAGAGGAAATGTACAAGACAGCTGGCAGCTAAAGCCATCGTTCCCAAGACAGTAATGACCTCCAGAGCAATAAAGCTGATAAAGCAATAAAGTAACTACTGCAGAAAGATTCACTCAATCTACTTTTTCTTTTGAGATATGGTCTCACTCTGTAGCCCTGGCTAGTATGGAACCTCTGTGTAGACCAGGTTAACCATGTAGTCACCTGCCTCTGCCTCCTGAGTACTGGGGTTATAGCTGTATGCCACAATGCCTGGCCCAAATGTTTTTTTAATTACAAGTATTTATTTAAATGTTCATGTGTATGGGTGCATACATGCCACATGGAGATCGGAGGACAACTTGTGGGAGTGGGTTCTTTCCTTCAACCATGCAGGACCCTGGGATAAAATTCAGGTTGTTAGTCTGGGCCGCAGGCACCTTTACCCACTGAGCTGACCCACTAAATTTCTTCATGACGCAAATATATTTCTCCTTTCCAATGCTACTGTCTAAAATGTTTTAATATTTATTTCATATGTAAGAGTGTTTTGCTTGCATATGTGTATGTGCATCCCATACATGCCTAGTGGCTGTGGAAGCCAGAAGTGGGCACTGGGTACCTTGGAACCAGGGTTATCAATGGTTATGAGCCACCCTTTGAGTGCTGGCAGTTAAACTGGGGTCCTCTACAAGAACAAGTACTAAATCATTGAGCCATCATCTCTCCTGACCCTCAAATGCTGCTGTTTTTAAAGTGGTAACAAGACACTCAGGCCCATCTACAAGTCATCCATGGAATTTCAACCTTATCAATATAAAACACTTGTAAATATCTTATTATATGAAGATGCCTTCAGGGGCTGGAGAGATGGTTCATAGGTTAAGAACAGTAGCTGCTCAATTCCCAGCACCAATACAGCAGATCAAAACTGTAACTCCAGTTCTAGGAGCTAAAACAAAACAAACAACAACAAAAAAAAAAAAAAAAAACCTTCCAACACAGGAAAATGAATCATCATCTCTCTAATGTTCTAGACTTGTCAATCAAAAAATAAGTCTCACTTCTCCCATTTCACTGGAACTAGGAAGACGCAAAACCAGGAATCCCAGGGAGAGCCCAAGGCTTCAGAGGTGAATGTGTACATCTGAAACACAAATTCTGCTCAGGAAAAAAAAAAAAGAAAACAAAGGAATGAAAATGTCATAATATGTCTTTGAACAACCTATAATCTGTAACTACAAATAAAAGGGATACTTTTGGAGCACCAACGCATGTGATCAGAGAACTTGAAAAACGTATACAAAGAAAAAGACTAAGGCTTGAAAGGTGGCTCCAGGATTAAGAACACCTGCTTCTCTCGCAGAAGATGGGAGTTTGGCTCCTGTTGGGTGGCCCACAACCACCCAGAACTCCAGCTCCAGGGGATCTGACAGGCTCTTCGGGACTCCCCAGCCACCGACATTCTCATGCACATATGACACATGCAAATACATACAACACATAATGGGAAGAGACTCAAACGGCCTCATGTGTTGGCCATGGGTCACTTTGGGGGTGCTTCTGTGTGCAGTTTAACACCTCTTTCAAGTCGGTTTGTGCTTCATTCCACTTCATAGCAAGTCACAAGCATCTGCTGCATCTCACTGTCTTTGGAATCAGCAAATATCTCATTCTATGGATATTAGGTTGCTGCAAGTTCCCATGCTAATAAAATACTCTTCCAGGGCTACAAGACAGCTTAGCAGGTAGAGGTGCCTGCTGCCTGATGGTGTAAGTCTGATGATAAGTTCAATCCCTGGAATCCAGGTAAAGGTAGATGAGAACCAGCTCAACAAAATTGTACTCTGACTTCCGCACACCCTCCATGGTATGTGTACAGGTACTCATTCAGAAAACACACACACACACACACACACACACACACACACACACACACACACACACACACACACACAAACCATAACACACACACTCCTAATAACTAATTAAAAATAAAGACTGTCTCATTGGCCATTCTTGTATAAGATCTTTAATGTATGATTGGTTATTTCTTTCAGATAGATTACTACACAAGGTATCAAACTATGTAAGAGGATACTTACTATCCAGAAACTTCACTTGTAAAGCTTCTGATACATATTATGAAATTAGTGTTAAATGTGGTTTTAAGAATTCCTAGTTCTACTTACAGTGTATATGTATCTACCTAATGATTTAACTTTTTTAAATCAAAAGTTTCCTGATAAAAATTATAAATATGTTAACTTGTTCTCTGAAGCCTTTATCAATACAAAGATTTATACTAAATTACTTGACAAGGTTAGCTAGAATCATAGACATTAATTTGTATTCATGTTAGTAATTAAAAATAAATATATAAAAGGACCAGTAATTATAGAATACCCCATGTACTTTTGAGTCATGTGATGAGATAATTTGATTTACTTACAACAAGAATAGTTCTCCAGGAGAAGATTGTAAATGAAACAATTCCCAAGACTGCAGTAACAATCACAGGCTGCCATGGTAGTCCATAAAAGTCAGGGCCGGGCTGAACATTAGCAGGCAATGTGGCAATTAACTGAAACAGACATATTAAAAATAATGGAAACCTGGAAAAATCTTACAAAACGTTCAGAAAGAGTCATCATAGAAATTCTAACCAGTCTCCGTCAGGTAAGTACTCTCGGCCATCTTCAACACCTCCCGCTTAAAAAAGTACAGGATACTGTCAGTCTCGTATTTGTTGGACTTGTAGTGTTTTCAAGCAGAGTGTCTCAATACCTTTACGTTGGCCATATATTTCCAGTTTCTAATAGGCTTTGCCATATTGTGTTGTCTATATATAGTTAGAAACTCCCTGGGTCATACTTTTAGGTAAGTTGTTTTATTACTTTGAAAAGCACACAACACGAAAGCTTTCAATACATAACTAATCAACCTTGGTGGGTGCAAATAAATCCAGTGTGACAATAATATAATGTACTATTCCCCTAATATTTTACGTATGGGTTCCATTTTCACACACACTGAGACAAGTGTTGAGTAAGTCTGGACAGCTCTTGATAACGGATTTAGTGGTCATGCTCTCAAACATCGTCTAGGCGACTCAGTGCCTTAGCTCTAGACGTTTCCTTAGGGGTGGTATTATCACACACCTGCTCACTCCACACTTTCACTGCCTGCTAATTCTGCTAATTACAATGCCGGCCCCACCCCCGACAGTGACGCCAGGAAAGGACTCCATCCACCGCGTAACACAGGGCCTGTCAGCTCCACGGGGCTCGGTGAAAACCGAGCACGCGACCTAAGGGTCGCACACGGCGGCCCGCCCGGCAGCCCGCCCCCCCGCCTCTCCGGGCCGTCGCCCTGGGCTCCCGCTCTGCCGGCCACACCGCGGCGGCCCCTCCCCGGGGACTGGGGACTGTCACCTCCAGGAGCTTGGCTATGAGGGCCGCGTAGAGCACCGACAGGGGGCCCAGCAGCTCGGGGTCCCCCGGGGAGGCGGTGACAGCAGGCACGGTGGCAGGCACCGAGTCCATCGCGTAGGGCCGGCTGCGCGGAGGCGACGCTTCCTGCCGACAGCACCGAGTCGGCTCTCACCGCTTCCGCCTCGGAAGCGCCGGCTCCGGGGGCGGACACTCGGGACGAACTTCGCCTTCCCGGGTCGCGGCGCCTTCCGCACTAGGCCGCCAGGAAAACGCGTCATCAGACAGCGCCCAGGAGACCACGTCAGCGCACCCAGGAAGCCTGCGAGCCCGGAGAGGCCGGGAGAGGCCGGGAGAGCCCGGAGAGCCCGGGAGAGCCCGGGAGAGCCGGGGCGGGACTAGTGCCGGACAAACCAACCGCCTCTCCTCGGAAGAATCCAGGAAAGAGGTGAGAAGGAGAGAGTGAGCCTAAAGCTTAGCAGAACCTTCGAGGGCTGAGGATGGGGAGAAAAGAGCAGAGGACTGGGCGGGAGAGTCCAAGTGAATGCGGCAGGGGTGCGGGGAGAACCGAAAAGTAGCAGCGGGGAGAATGACAAGAGTCGGGCGGAAGAGTCCATTGAGGGAGGAACGGGGACGAGTGCAAAGTGAGCAGAGAGATCCAGTGAAGGACAGTCCAGATGAAGAAAGCTCACCTGCCACAAGGGATGGGGTCAACCGCCAAGGAGCTAGCAAGATGGGATTATGGGTGGAGCCTGGGAGGAATCCTGTCACTACCAATTCTTCACCAATATCCCCATTTGGGAGTCACTCCTTTTAAGGTTATGCACTTTGTGGAAATGGACAAGGGTAATAAATAGTCCGGAAATCATATTCTTAAATTTAAAGGCAATGGGGATATTTAATTGGAGGGAGGGTTTTTTACGTTCCTAAATTTGAGAGCCAGGGTTGCAGAACAACAACAAGAAAAGACCTTGAAAGAACAATGACAGCCCATAGTGGGAGGAGGTGGCTGGGTTTGAGCCCAGGAATACAGACCATAGGATAGAAAATAAAATCCAGAAATCTCCCTACACAGGAGGTTGAAGGTTGAGGCAGGAACATTACTGTGGGCTTGAGACCAATGTGGGCTACATAATGGGTTTACCGGGTTACAAAGTAAGACCCTAGCATAAATGATGAACGGAAATAAGGAGCTGGAGGGTGTCTTGGCTGCTAAGAACTCACACTGCTCTTGCAGAGGACTGGAATTAGGTCCCTCGAACCCTGGTAGGTGGCTCACAAATGCCCGTGACTTCAGCTCCAGGATATCCAGCTCTCTCGTCTGCCCTCCACATGCAACTGCAATGAACCACACATAATCTCCACACAAACATAGGTACATACATACACATCAGACTAGGGGCTTCAGAGATAGCTTGGGGTGGCTCAGCAGTTAAGAGCACTAGCTGCTCTTCCAGAGGACCTGGATTTCAATCCCCAGAATCCAGATGGTAGTTCACAACTGTCTGTAACTTCAGTCCCTGGGGATCTGATGCCCTTTTCTGGCCTCCATGGATACCAGACTGGCACACAGTGCACAGACATACATGCAGAAAAACAAAAGCAACAACAACAAAATAAAAAGAAAGTAGGACAGGCGTGGTGGCTCATAAACAATCCGGACACGTAAGAGACCAAGGCAGGAAGATGGCTACAGCTTTGAGAATAGCCTTCACTACAGAAGTGACCTCCAGGCCAGTTCAGACCACAAAGACCCTGTCTCAAAATTCCAGCAGCAATAGTAATTTTATTCAGTGCTAGGATGTGGTTTTCAAATACAAGATGAGAAAATAAGAATACTGACCACTGTGAAAAAGATTAAGAACTAAATAAGTTTAAAGCTCTGACACCATAACTCTCTGAGAAAAAGTCTACAAAGTAACTGATCTGAGACTTGTGCTTCCTCAAGAGACTGGACCTGTCCAGTCCGTGTTTACTTTCTATATGTCAGAATCTTAGAGAACTGCTTCCAGATTTGAAAATGAACGTTACATTGTTGTCATCTAATGCTAATCACCTACTTAGTCTCTCTGCTTTTGTTTGAAATTTTCATGACAAAATATTAAAAAGCTGGGTATGGTGGCACACACCTTTAATCCCAGCTCTCTAGAGCAGAAACAGGCAGATCTTTGTGAGTTTGAGGCCAGCCCAGTCTATATACTGAGTTCTAGGACAGACAGCCAGAGCTATGTACAGGGATCCTGTGTCAAAAAAAAAAAAAAAAAAAAAAAAGTCTAGAAATTTACAAAAGGATACAACTTCACATATTCAAAGGATTACTGTGTATAAAAGGAGTTACATCTCACAGAGGGTTTCATACAGAAGGAAACTGAGTCAATATAAAAAGGACTTGGCAGGGGGGTGGTAGGGGAGGAAGGGAGGGAGAAGGGAACTGGGATTGTCATGTAATTCAATGTTGTTTCTAATTCAAATAAAGAAAAAAAAAAGGACTTGGCTACAGAAGAATGCGTGGCCCTGAAAGGCAGGTGGCCCACACTGAGAATCACTGATACATGCAGGAAAGTAGATCCAACTAGAGATGATCTTTTTAAGTGACTTAAGCCCGTCTCAGGAAGATAGACATGTTTTCTATCATTGGCCATTCCTAGATTTTAACTAGATGCATAAAAGCATACAGGTATATATAACATGAAAATAGAAGTGAGACTGTCCAGGGGAATGAAGGGAACTAGCCAGGGGCATGGGAAAGGGTGAGCAGAGTGTGCTGGGAGACCTCACAATGACCTATCAGGGAATTACTGTAATTAGTGAGACACTAGTGTCAGCCAACAATAGACCCATGAAGCTGACCTGTGGTGCTGCATTTCCCCTAATCAAAGCAGAACTCATCACCTTCCGGGTCACTGTGCTCCTTGTTGGAAACTTCACATTGCCCCATTCATAGGTCCTCAGTTTTCACGTATCTTACCCTCACAAGCCTTTCCGACATCAGGACTGCGCTTGGCCCATATCAGAATCCCTCTTATTACATTTGTTTGTTTGTGAGTAGGTATTCTTGGGCATGTGCATATTACGGCACTTATGGACACTGGTTCTTTCCTTCCACAAAGTGGGAAGTGAGACTGAGCTTGGGTAGTCAGACTTGGCATCAGGGGCCTTTACCTGTTGAGTCACGTAGCTAGCCTCCATACAGGGATCTTTGGTTTCTAGCAGATGCTTTGTGCATATTGAGCCATTAATTGCTTTTTGGAACATGCAGTTTGAGCCAGCATCTTATAGTACTGTGTCCCTTTTTGCCTTTTATGTCTGTGTGTTCTTCTGTCACCTTGCAAGTGGAGGCCATATCCTGTACCATATCTGTGTCCCTATCTCAAACCAAGAAGAAAATCCTAACATGCCTAGGACTGTGAGGAAGTCAGACTTCCTCCCACATCCCAGCACTTGGATTTCTTGAAGGATAGCATTGTGAGGGTGCTTCTCACTGGAAGCATCAGAACTGCAACGGCTCAAAACCACCACACCTTTGCCAAGCAACTGTGGAGAAAACTGAAGATAGATTTGTTCTGCTCCATCTTTTTCATCCAGGCAGCCTCTCTTTGGAATTTGCTGGGCAGTCAACATCTTTATTGCTGCCCTCTGAGTATAAAAAAGAACAGGACTGGAAGGAGACCAGACATCTCCACAGGCACTTCACCCTGTCCCAACACTCAGCTGTTGCAGCAGCAGCAGTACTTTTTACTGCATTTTTCAGATGAGGAAGCTGAGGTTCAGAGTTTAGTCATTTGCTCTTTGTCATCTTGGAAAACAAATGGAATGGAACAGTGGTTGGTGGAAACAGAAGGGGGCATCAGGAAGACAAAGGAATTGGATGAGGAACAGAAAAGCACAGTGGAGCTAGTTCTGAGTTTTCTGTTATTACAGTTTATGAGTTTTCTCAAATGATTGCAAGTGGACTGGAGATGTGGCTCAGCAGGCCAAGGTGCTGGCTGCCAACTCTGATGACATGGGTTTGGTTCCCAGAACCCACAAAGGTAGAAGAGGGAAGTGACTCCTGCAGGTTGTCCTCTGACTGCTTCCCATATACGTATGCACACACATATATATGTGTGTGTGTGTAAAAACACTTAACACGAATACACATAGAAATGATCATTGTCCTGACTGCTACTCTGATTTGATCATTACATAATGTACACATCTATCAAATGTCCAGAACTGATGGGCGGTGGTGGTACGCGCCTTTTATCCCAGCACTTGGGAGGCAGAGGCAGGTGGATCTCTGAGTTGAAGGCCAGCCTGGTCTACAGAGTGAGTGCCAGGACAGGCTCCAAAGCCACAGAGAAACCCTGTCTCGAAAACAACAACAAAAAACCAATGTCCAGAACCCACACCATAAAGATGTACACTTCTTATGCTTCAATTTAAACAAGGTTTAAATTAGGATTTGAAACAAAACCTTCCTGAATCAAAACCTGTTTATAGAAAATATCAACAGCAAAACACTATTACACAAGCCTCAAAATTACAGGCCCTACAGGAGACTGCTTGACCATGGAGACACTTTGCAATCCTGGCATCACTTTGGCCTCCATCCTCATCCAATTTACCTAAAAAAATGTCCAGTATCCACACACTCCACAAGGGGGAGCTAATCCTTCACACTTGACTAAGCTACTAGGGATGGTTAAATGTCTTCTTGAATTCCCGACTCTCTTCAGAAAGATTAGCCTAAATAAACATTTTGCCACCATAGCTCTTTCTAGGAAACAGATCTGACCAGCCACTTCCCTATTTCAAACCTTCAAAGGGTACCAACTCTGACAGTTTGACAGAACTCACATCACACACACACCGCCTTTGTCATGTGTCCCTCCTCTCTCCACAGACCCCATGGCGTCCTATTACCCTTCCCCATCCATTATTCAACAAGAAACTATACATCATATTCCCTTTGGTCCTGCTTGCAACATCTCAGCTAACTCCTAACCTCCTTTCTTCTCTACCAACCCTGACAAAATCCTCTCTTTCAAGTGGACGTCTCCAGGCCCCTGGGATACTGAAAGGTCCCCAGGAGGTAAACCATGTTTTTTAGGTGTATACCTGCCCAGCCTTGCCAGGCAGTAAACTCTCATGTGCTAAACTAACAGCCCTTAATTAAACCCATCCACTTTCTGCTCTTCTCGGGACTCACCCACCTTTCCAGGCTCAGAGATCATGAGGACATTTTAAATTCTTCACTCAAGTGAAGTCAGAGTCAACTTAAAACCTGCTATAAATCAAGCCAAGGTGGTAGCCCATGGCTACAACATAAACACTTTGGAGGTGTTAGCTGGAGGATCAGGAGTTCAAGGTCAGCCTTGGCAGGTGTCAGTCCTCACCCAAACCTCCTCCCTGCAGAACACCCCTGTAGTAGTCAGCCTTTTAGCCGAGGGAACTCAGACTTACCATCTTACATAAATAAAGAATGAAGGAATACAGGGGACCAAGTTCATTTTCCAGAGGTGGGACATTGGCTGGCTCCTCTGCCTTTGTCTCCGGGAGCGTTTCTACATCATCACCAATCCCAACAGGAGAGCTTTCGGTTACAAGGAAAGCTAAAAGGAAGCAAAAGACACCATATTTTCTTTTATGTTTTAGAATGAGAATTGTTTCTCTTCGTTTAAATGTTTAAATGAGTATCCTCTAAATACTAATCATTGAGCATAGAATATTTGATTCTCCTAAGGAAAATTACACAGAGAAATTCAAAAGCCAGGATCTTAATCGGATCCATCAGACCTTTGATTATAAAAATAAAATCATCTCCACTATCCAGGGTACTTCATCATGTCTCCTGTCCATTGAGAAGAATTGAAAACAATCAAACCTTCAAATTTTATTATTTCTCCCTATAGACAGAATTGCCAGGCAGAGTGCTTTATGCCTTTAATCCCTGCACTCAGGAAGCAGAGGCAGGAGGATCTCTGAGTTCAAAGCCAGCCTGGTCTACAGAGAGGGATCTTGTCTCAAAACAAACAAACAAATCTCCCCAAAACCAAACTAACCAACAACAGCAAAAAACAAAACAAAAAAAATTAAAAAAAAAACCAGCACCATCAAAAAAAAACATATAGACCAGCACATTCAGCCATCTGTGACTTGGTGTTCACAGAACACTATTAGAAACTTTAGAGAAGAGTTGTAAAAGAACAACTTTCAGAAGCCAACAAGATGGCTCAGTGAGTAAGAGTGCTTGCTGAAGGAAAAATCTGACTCCTGAACGTTGCTTTCTCTACATGTGGGTGCATACACACACTAAATAAAAATATTAAAGAGAAAAAGGCTTGCAGCTAGAATATACTGAGGCTTAGCATAGTGGCATGTAGCAGGTACTTAATACTTATTATGGGCCGGTGACGACTCCATGAAATGTAGTAAATACCAGGAATGATTTGCGGAGTGGGCACTGGCATAGAAGCTTTGTGAGAGAAGGAAAGCCCAGTCATACCCGAGAGGATTCCACACGAGGAGGTGGGGGAGGGACAGGCAGGGTTTCAGCTTGAGTTACATGAGCTCGGCATGTCTTGTCAACAGCAGTTAATGGAAAGTTGGACTGGACTTTCTAGGGGTCTCTCCCAACCCTAAAACTCAGTTCACTATTGACCTAGTACTGACAATGGTCACATTTCCCAGTCGGGTCAGCATCCTAGCACCTGAGGTACACGTTTTGACACTGGGAAGGACTTGTCTAGAAAGACAGCTGGCACTATGTGGGAAGATCTAAAGCAAAGATTCTGTTCCGAGTTCTGTAAGCACAGCTTTTCCCAATTCTGAAGGTTTTGAGCAAAAGCAATGCATCTCAATGGTGCTTGACTCTTTCAGTAAACAGGACCTTTCTGAATGAACAGTAACTTGGAAATGTGACACATGACCATGATGTGCTCTGGAACAGGAGAGTCCCCTGTTGCATCATTCACTCTTGGCCCAGCTAGACTTCTCCCTGCTGTGATGTTTCCTGCATTTTGTGTATGAGCTGGAGAGCTACCCTAGTGACATGAAACCCTTCATTTCCACAGACTAACACTAAAGCTGTGCTTCACATACATACACTCTCCCATGCACACCCAAAATACTGCTGGAGCTGGCAGTCAGTGGTCACACACTATCCTAACACGCAGGAGGCCCTGAGTATGGTCCTCAGGGCTGTGAAAAAAACAACACCCCCCCCACCCAAAGAAAGTCAGTAATGACATCCTCATGGTACTGTATTGGGTGGCAGGTAGCACAATGAGAGCTACTAATGAAATGAGAGTGAGCAATACAACAATTAGGAAACCATCGAAACCATTATTGAGGATGTTAAAAAGCAAAACAAAACACTTTATCTCCCACCCATATTTCCTGTGTGCTGTAAATCAAGTATTTACAATTGCAGATGTCAGTCTCCTCTGGACTGTCATTCCTGCACTGTTTCCTAAAAGCCTACTCTAAAAAGCCACCTGGACTCCTTCACAGCATCTTAAAAAGCTGTATTTGCTCTCTGGAGGCAGCAACTCAAAACAGCAACTGAATTACTTACTGTAGCCATTCGGAAGGGAGTGTGGAGGGAGAACCAAGCCCAGGAGTTTGGACTGTTACCTGGTGCCTATCGGCTTTCCTGGGGGCTTATTTCAAATGGACTGCTGTCCCAGACCAGCACTTCCTGTGCTGCTGTCTAACAGAAAGCTCTGCCTTAGAGCATGTGGTTGAGGGACAAGAGCTCAGGTTCACACTAAGATGATTTATAGTGGCTGGGTTTGCAAATTAATGACGGCCCCTGGCTTCCTTCCAGTTTTGTGAACTCCATGCATCTGAACTGCTTTTCTGTTACTTGAGGGGAGATTTTTAAATCTTATACACACCTGGGTTGTTCTCTTTCCTGCCTCTGCAAATGAATAGTCTTAGCAGGCCTTCTTCACAATACATGTCTACTTTGTAGACAATAAACTTTACCTGGATCTATGTCTTTTTCAGTATTTGACTTCTGTGACACCCATGAGGCACTCATGTGCTCAGTCACGGGTTGACCAAGCTCTTCCGGAAGCTGCATACTGGTCACAGGTTGATCCAAGAAACCAGGCTCTTCTGTAAGTTGCACACTGGTTGCAGGCTGCTCTGAGAGGCCAGGCTCCTCTGTAAGTTGTACACTGGTCACAGGCTGCTCTGAGAGGCCAGGCTCCTCTGTAAGTTGCACCCTGGTTGCAGGTTGATCCAAGGAACCAGGTTGCTCCGGAAGCCGAACACTAAGATCTTCTGTGTTTTCTTGTGGTAAGCTGTCCTTCATGGGTGGCTGCAGCTCTGGGGAGGAACACAGAGAGTTTGATCAAAGGTCCATTTTGGTTTACTCAACTGACCAGCACTCCCTCACCACACAGCCCAATATCCTAGATGGCGTGTGCACAGTGGAGAAGGAAACAAGAGTTTTAACTTCTTCCCTCTAGATTAACAATGACTGAAGTACAGATTTACAAAGCAGAAGCCTTTACTCCACAGTGTTCCATAAATGCATTCATGGAAAAGACTCCATTGACTTGCCATGGCAAGCCAGCATGTGCCCCCACAGTCACTCAGAAATGAATTCCAGTCGAGCACAGAACCCAGGAACCACATACAGAACATAACCTCCTTCACACCCAGGCAGCTGGGCTCACAGCCAGGCAGCAGGGCTCACAGAGCTCATGTAGAGAAGGGCATTCTGCACGTGGGCAGCTAACCAAATTCGGTCAAACTACTCCCAAGCAACAAGGAGTGGGCCCATCTCCTTCCCTATGAGCCTGAACACATCTTTGCAGCCTCATATTTTATACCAAAAACTTAATTTGAGTTTTTAATCTTTTTTTTTTAAGAAAAAGAATCATCCTATTTTGTGTGTATGGGTGTTTTGTCTCTGTGTGTTTGTGAGTACACCATGTACATGCAGTGCCCACAGCGGCCACAGGAGGGCATCAGATTCCCCTGGAACAGAAGTATAATGATTGTGAGCTGTCATTGGGGACAGGAATTCAGGTGCTCTGCCAGAGCAGCCTGTGCTCTTAACTGCTGAGTCATCTCTCCAACCTGAATTTTCCATTCTTAACCAAAAGCTTTGATTTAAAAACAAAAAAAAAAAAAGCTTACTCCTTCCAATTCTCAGGAAAATTAGTACCTCCAGAAGACAGATAGATGTTCCTGTAACTCTGTGCCCGCCACCATTCACCTGCAGTGGCTACTTCTATTTGCAAAACATGGTACCCAGAACATAAGGTGCAACTAGGGGTCAGGAGCTTACAGCAGGCAGGGTGTCCTGGGGTCAGTTCAGCAAATACGCACTTCTGTTTGAGACTTACCTGTCTAGAGGAACAAAGAAGGCTAACTGGAGAGGGAGGGGTGAGGAAAGAGGGGGGTAGCATGGTGTCATAGAGAAGGGACATGCTTGAAGTACACTGTAAGTCTGAAATGTTATGAAAGTAGTACAATGCTGGACATGCGTCCCTGTAAATGAAGAAATTGTGTTTATTAAGCCCCTTGCCTTACTTGAAAGCTGTACTTTGTTAAGAGTTTTACTTTGTGAATTATTTTCTTGGTTATTTCTTTCTTTTAAGATTTTTTTTATAAAGTTTCCTTTTGAAAATGAAAACCAATTTCAGCTGTCCCATGGAAGGAAAAAAAAAAAAGCAGTATTGTGGATAAGGGGCAATCTGTGTTCATGTTAAGCCTAAAAGGGAGCTGGAAGGGAGGACGAGACCCTATAGGTCTAGAGCCTCTCTTTTAGACACATGGGGAGTGTGACTAGAGTTTCACACACAGGACCCTCTCCTTTAGACACATGGGGAGTGTGACTAGAGTTTCACACACAGGACCCTCTCCTTTAGACACATGGGGAGTGTGACTAGAGTTTCACACGGGAAATGAAGCACTTTAGTGTGACCCCACCCCAAACACACATCCCCTCCTGACCACCCTGCTCCTGCTTTCCCAGCCTAACTCCACAAGGTCATAGGCAGGTACTTTACCTTCTACTGGTCCAGACCAGACTTCCTCCTGAGGTGGAGGTGTGGCCAGTGGGGCAGTCTCCACTCCAGAGTATTGGTACCTGACAAAATAGATCAGATCTTGTACGTCATCCAACACTGCAGCTTCTTCTAACACGCTGTTCTCTTGTGTCCCCAGATCTCTATTTTTGTTCTCCCGAGTATCAAGCATATTCTCTGCCGCACTTAGAATTCGTGACTCAGAGGCACGGAAGACTTTATCTAGGACTTTTTCCACATTGTAAGGCAGGCTGTCCCGATGTGCCGATTTCAGCCTTATTGACATATCTTGCAGCATGCCCTCTAGCTCATGGACATCGAAGTACTTTAGGAAGCGATACAGGGACTTCTGGTCCCTAAAGAAGCTGTTGATGATGGGCAAGTCTTCCCTCACGCTCTTGAGCACTATGTCGGGAATCTCAGGTGTAGCTTGTTGGGGTAGGTCATCCCCAAGGTTTTGGGCATCAGGCCCCTGGCTTTCTGAGCCTCCAAGCTCCTCTGGATCCTCAAGTTCCCATTCTGAGATTTCTTCTCCCCCAGGAATCTCAAGTCCCAAGGTGTTGACTAGTGCCTCAGGTTTGTCTTTTTGTAGGTCGTTAGGATCTTTACTCTGAACAACTTCCCCGAAGCCTGGGGTGTGAGCTGCTGTCTTGTCAGGAAGGCCATCAACTTCAGACAGCCCCTGAGCGCTCACACCTGCCAGATGACTGCCTTCTTTGTCCACCAGCACACTGCCTGACTCCTTGCCCATACCATCTGCCTCTTCTGATGTGGTTTTGCTCTTTTTCCCAATCTCCAAAATCATATTAGTTGCTTGTTTGTTTTCTTCAGTATCAAGATTAAGGGTCCCCAAAATTACTTTTTCAAAACCCTGAGAATTCATATCTGAGCTGTCGTGAGCCCTGGGGTGGTTTTCTTTAGACTGCTGTGCGCTCACGGCATTTTCATCCTCCAGTAACTCCTCAAGGGGGAACTCGTCCTCCTCTGCTTCTGGCCTTTGGGTATGGACACTGGGCACTTCCGGGCTATCAGCCTCCTGTGTCCCTTGTATGGCCTGGGGGTGAGGTGGTTTCACATCTGCAGGGTCTTCCCTGCCCTCTGCAACAGGTACATCTCTCTCTTGGTGCTGCCAAGAAAGATTTCTTCGCAGAGGAGGAACTTTCGTTTCCAGTTCTCCTGGAAGACCAGTTTCCTCTGGAGAGGAGAATGTAGGTTGATTCTGAAATCCCTCCCATTGGCCCACTTCTGGCCCACTGACGGAAGCGCCTGGGACTTCCATCCTGTCCTTGGATGCATCAGGCTGATGGTCTCCTAAGAGTGCCACAGCACCCAAGGATTCCTGTTTGCTGTTACTTTCTGTCACTGGACTCCCCAGAGCTCTGTGTACCAATTCACTCTCTATGCTGTCTCTGTTCTTGTCTTCATGGACTGTCTCCTTTGAGATATGGATAACTGGTTCTTTTAGGCCATTTTCTTTTCTTTCAAAGACTGCTTTTAATGTAAATTCCTTGGCCTTTTCAGCAGCTGGCAGAGGGTTAAGCTTGCTGTTCTGAGGTGGATAAGCACTTGATGTTTCTGTTTTGGACTCCTGGTGTGCCAGGCCTCTCCTGGATTCCTGGATCGCCTTCTCTTCTCCTGTTATGACAAGTTGTGGGTCTGTTTTCGAGTCCTTTTCACCATTTCTTTTGGAGTCTTCTACAAAAAGATGGTCTTCTTTATCCTCAGGGTCCATATGGGCAGCTGTTGACTGTGGCTTCCTTTGATGACTAGCTGAAACCAACACATCCTCCTTCTTGTCTTCCTCTGTGTTAGAACTCTCTAAATCCACCACACCTGTTTCTCCTTCACCTCCTGTGACAATAGAGAAGAAAGTATCCCCCCAGGTTGTCAATATATCTTTATTGTCATTTTGGGTGCCAGGAGGCAGAGGAGGTTCAACTTTATCATCTTCACTCAAGTTCAGATTCTCATCTGTTGAGTATTTCTCCATCCTAGGCTTCCTGGGAACATTCTCTTCTTCATCGGTAAAGGATAGTAATGGTAGCTCATCAAAGCTGTCTGCATTCTCCTCTTCTTCATTTTCCACTGAGTAATACTCAGCATCTGGCTCTTCATCAAGATCGTCTTCTAATGACGTGACCAGTCTGGTGGCCTCATCGTCAGACACTAGTGCATCAGCGGTTGAACCAAACTTGGTTTTCAAGTCAAGAGTCATTTCTGTTTTCAGGACTTTGTAAGCATCTATCTTCTCCTGCTCCACTGAGACGGGAGAACTATTGCTGGTTCTGTTTTCACTTCCTGGCACTTTTAATTTATCGTGCAGCATTTCTTCAAAATTGTCCAGTGAAGACTGCACTCCCTGAGCATTATCTGCTGCACTATTGGTATGAGGGTGGCTCTCCTGAGCCGAGGACTGTTCCTGCAGTTCCTCAGTGTTCTCTGAGAACACTCCTTCTAGTTCCCCTGAGTCCACTTTGGCTGGCTCAGGCTCAGGCTCAGGCTCAGGCTCAGGTGCAGGGTCAAGTTCAGTCTCTTGAGTCCCTTCAGGAGACTTCACTCCATGCTGAGAAACCTCTTCAGCTTTCTCAGACTCCTCAGCTGTGGAGTCCTCAAATTCCAAAGAACCTAAAAGTTCTTCTACATTATAATTATTAAAATCATCTCTTCCTCCTTCAGAACAGACAAAATCTGTCTCCTGTATGGAAAAAAAAAATTGGTGTCTCAACAATCAAGTGTCTCAAAAGCATCCTTATGCAAGTGACAAAGATAACTCCCAAGTTTGTGCCTGCTCTGGAGGACTCTGAGTTAGTGTTGGGCCAGTATGGGGATGTCAGACAAGAGCCCATTTTCGTTCTCCCCTCCTCGGGAGAAGACTGACTCACGTAGCTAGTGAGTTTGCTTGGCTCCATTCCTGGTCTCTGTTTGGAAAATAATCTGTTCCCCCATGCTGTCAGTTTTATGGGGACAGTTGGAGGCTCCCAGTTGGCCAGCTCTGGTTAGGTAAATCTGTCTTATTCTACACTGCAATTATTTCTGCATTTTTCAAAAACTGTGTCATATTCTCTAAAAAGCATAGTGAGTAAACAAATGGAAACATGTTATTCTGCCTCTGCGTGACTACTGCGTTTCTCAGTTTGTTCTGAACATTCGGTGAGGAGTTGTATTGTCAACTTGACAGCATTTATAATTGCCTAGGAGACAGGCCTCTGGGTACAGCTGCTAAGACTTGTTTCCAGACCAGGTTAACTGTCCAGGGAAAGCCCACCTTACATATGGACAGCACCATTTCCTGGGCTGAGGTCCTGGATGATACAAGAAGGAGAAAGCAACCTTAACATCAGGGTTCATCTCTCCAGCTTCTGAAGCACAGATACAAGATGAGCAGCTACCTCGAGCTCCTGCCTCGATGAACTCCACCCTCAAACTGTGAGCCAAAATAAGCGCTTCTTTCTTGAAGCTGCATTTGCCAAGTATTTCCCCACAGCACTGAGAAAAGTAACTAACATAACAACAGGGGGAGGAGGAACAGGGAGCCCTGTATTGAGACTCCCATTTGTAATATCTGTGCCTGATGACCAGGATGCTGTCTGAGGAGCCACAGGACCATGGTGCTCTTTATCCCACGTCCTCCATGCTATATGTCTGTGCCTAGACAGCTAGAGGCAGGCAGAATTCCCTGGCTGTCATGTTCTAAGTCTACATGGATTTTTGGAACATATTTTCCTTGGATTTGGAAATACTTATGAACTTGAAAAGCATCTTACTGCCAGGTGCATAGAGAGTGAAAATTCAAAGCAGTACCTAAGACCATCAGAAAACACAGATATTTACAATTCATAACAGTATCAAAATTACAGTTATGAAGTAGTAATGAAAATAATTTTATAGTTGGGGGTCACCACAGCATGAGGAACTGTATTAAAGGGTCACAGCATTAGGAAGGTTGAGAACCAGTGCTTTAGAGGGATGAAGAATGGTGTCACAGGGAATCTCCACTTTCATTATTACTGGAACAACTTGAAAACAAGGTTCAGTTCTGTATGTTAGAGTTCTCTGCAGTGATTGATATCTGCTTTAAGACTATTCATAAATTTTCATTCTTTCTTTTTCCCACAAGTAAGTAATTTGGCACCAAAGAAATCACACCCTGTATAGAAAGGTAAAAGGGCAACTAAGATGATTGTTGCCCCCTAACCAAACTTTCACAATATTCTGGAGAGACCTGTCCAGTGCAGAACAGGCTAATGACTTCCTTTTTCTCATCACACATGATTCTGAGCCATTTTCTTCATGTCAAGAGAAGGGTGTCATGGGAAGTATAACAAGAAGACAGAATCTAAAACAGGTGACATCTCAGGGCGGATGAACATCTCCCATCCTGCACAGCCCTTGTCAACAGAGAAGCCCAGTGGGATTATAATGTGAGTACCTCGAGAGCATCAAGGACTGTAAAGAAGAGTGACAGCTCTGTGGCACTGACCACTTTCTCACCCCATCCCTGAATTATCCTACACCAGCGGCTTTGTGCTCTGCAGACGGGAAACGGGACTCACATAAAGCCCTGAGCATCCATTTTCCCAGTCTGTGGCATAAGTGTTACATAAGTGTATGAACAGGTCTGTACACAGCTTAGAGTTTGATTAGCTGACCTTGATTTCTATCTATTTAAAATGTTTAGTACCCAATGAGTAATTTTCAAATTGGGACACCTCTTTTTGCTTGTAAAATAAAATTATTTACCTCTTTGATAACTAAGTGCAAGGATTTTTTTCTTCTTTTTTGTTCTTTTGAGACAAGGCCTTGAATAGTTCAGGCTGGCCTTGAACTGATCCTGCTGGCTCCACCTCCCAAATACTAGGGTTATAAGTATCATCACACTTCGCTAATGTATTACATTTTTCCACATGCAAAAACCCAGACAAAAGCCCTGTATATCAGTCTACAGCCTCCTATAAGAGACTTTTCAGTATATTAAACTATTATCAGATTACATAGTCTCCTACAAATGCTTTTCAAATGTTCTTTTTCAGTTAGTCTGATTCCAAATTAAAATATGATACACAAATATTGGGTTGTTTTCTCCTGTCCAAAACATATTCACCAACTTTCAAAGAGTTAATTACACTTTATAAGAGCTGTAAGGGAAAATGCAATGCCTTGCCTAAAACTGTCTTTAACTGGCACTACCAGTACCACCAAATTGATTACAGCTGAACTTACAAGCCTATTTGTAAGAGAGAACAACTTACATCTGCTGGAATGTATAGCTCTTCTTCCGTATATTTGTGAAGTATCTTGATCAAATCTTTTGGAAAGTATCCAAAGATTCGTCCAACCTATGTGAAAAAAAAAGGGGGGGAAGAGAGACAAATAGTAATTAATTTCTTACAAGAAATCAAAGGAGGGTTTTAGCAGTGACAGGAAATACATAAACAAGATAGGCCAAGAGAAATAGATGTTTGCTGCTAACAATGACACTTCGATGACTGTGCCAATGGAAATTAGTGTTGTTAAAGCAACAGTTCTCTAAGGCACATATCAGCACATAGCCTTACAGTTGGAAGTAACTAGAGATCTGTGTAAGAGAAGCTGCCTGCAAGCTGTACGGCTCAGACTTGGCAAACCAAAGCCAACTAGAAACACACTTCCAAGTGATCTCTGGCAAAAATTTACATGAGCACTTGACAGCGTTGCTCATGAACCATGGAAATAAGCAGAAGCAAACAAGACTTCTGAAATGTTGCTGCTACAACAAATAATATCAATTGATACCATATGCTATGGTAGCTTTTCCAAAAACAGCATTTAGAAGTATTTGGGGGATTAAATAAAATTATGATGTAATACATACTTACCTACCTCTCAGCCTTCAGTTACATGTAAAATAAATCTACAGAAAATAACTGGTTTTTCCCAGCATGCACAGTTGAAGACATGTAAAATGTGCAGTGTAATAAAAGTTTCATTTGAGAAACTGTCCTTCCCTGCCACAGTGTAAAAGGCAGCAAGGACCTATTCCCAACCAATAAAGTAGACTGATAGATGGACGGATAGGCAAGTCAGAGGCACAAGAAGAAGAAAGGCCGCCTTATCACTAGTTCTAAAATATCACCATTCAGCAGTGTTCTTGGTTTATCTGGGAACCATCTGGAGCCCATGTTAGTAATAGAATAAAACCCCGAAGATTAGATAAGACCTCGGCCATGGAAAGCTACAAGACTGGCAGATAAACCCTGAAACTCTAGGAAACCAAGAAAGACCGTGGGATGAGAATTAAGATATTAAAACAAGTCATCTGAAAACCAGGGAGACTTGTTAGTTCCACACATGGTGAGGTTCATGAAATGAGAGGGAAGACTGAGCAGAAATACATGTTGCCCTTCTGTAGGAATAAAGGCTATAGAGGTTGAGGTAGAAAAGTGGAGGAATCCAGAGGTGTGTGAAAAAGAAACGGGAAGTTCCTTCTCCATCTGTCAGCCTCGGGTGCTACAGTCCCTCCCCACAGGCTCGCAGAATCACAGGCCCTCACAGAAGGAATTCTTATGTCTCAGTTTGCTTCTGTGAAGCATCCCTGCCAAAGTACTGCTGATTTGATTTGGGGGTGGGGAGCACAGAGTCTGCCTCAGGAAGGCCAATTGTGCTTGAGCTACTAAGAGAGTAAATGTAATTCAGTGCTATAGTGCCCTGTTAGGAAACACTCAAAATGAAGGTAGATAAGACACCTGGCTTCTGACTTGATAGTGAGCTGAGACACCAGCTGGCTGACAAGCACAGCAGTAAAACGACTGTGACAGGAGCAGGGCAAACAGCGTCCCACCCAGGCACATATCTACCAGCAAAGATCACCAGGCTGGATGCTAAAGCAGGATTTCTTCGGGGGGCAAAGCGAAGGCTGGGGCTGCAGAATGCTTGCTGATGGTGTAGAAAGTCTTGGTTTGATCTGAAACGTTACACAAATGGGGCACACCAGTAATCTCAGCACTGGGGAGGCAAGAGGCAGGAGGATCAGAAGCTTAAGGCCAGCTGGGATACAGCTTAATGGCCCTGCCATTAAGGAAAAACAAAAACAGAGTAAGAGCTGTGTGTGTGTGTGTGTGTGTGTGTGCAGTTGAGTATGTGTGTGGGCATACGGATGTATATGGGGCAGTCAGAGGACAACCTTACTGTCATTCCTCAAGTGCTGTCTTCCTTGTGGGTTTTTTGTTTGTTTGTTTGTTTTGTGTGTGTGTTTTGAGATAAGGTTTCACTTGTAGACCAGGCTGGCCCAGAACAGGCTATCTAGATGAGGCTGGCCTTAAAATCACAGAGGTTTGCCTGCCTCTGCCTCACTCACGTCTCACCTTGTGTTTTTCACTCTTCAAGTACGTAAGGCTGGTCAGTGTATGAGTCTTAGAGACCCACCCGTCTAGCACCTCCTGGACTCAGTGTTAAAAGCTCACCCATGAAGCTTGGCTTTTTAAAGTAGGTTCTGGGGACCAAACTCAGGTCCTGGCTATCACCCTAGCCCTAACTTCAGCTTTTTTGGCATTTTTTTTTAACAGAGAAAAGTCACACAAACTTTAAGCCTGCACACCATAAATGCTATCTTGCATATAGCTTATAAGACTGAGTCTAATGACCACAAATACTTCTTTCTTAAGGCAATGAACTTTTAAGATTTACAGGTCTTTGCCATTTTGACTTGTATTATATGAGCAGCTTCCTCAATAGCTATGGGGCGATAGCCAGAACCAGTTCAGTTCTGTTTCAGAAACCTCTGTCTTGCCCCTACTGTGTGCCAGCCCTGAGGCCTGCTAGAACCACAGGGCTGTCTCCCCCCTCCTGTGTGCCAGCCCTGAGGCCTGCTAGAACCACAGGGCTGTCTCACCCCTACTGTGTGCCAGCCCTGAGGCCTGCTAGAACCACAGGGCTGTCTCACCCCTACTGTGTGCCAGCCCCAAGGCCTGATAAAACCATAGGGCTATCTTCTGTTTACAGTCAAGGAAGTCACCATCAATAGCATTTAAATCTGCAGTGCTATAAAATCAACAAAAATAAGGAAATAAAAGTTTTTCATGGTTTTACTTACACTTCCAGCCCAAACTTCAGGGAATGCCCCTGCAAGTTTGTAGTAAACATACACATGGTCGCCTTTTTTAAAATTCACAAAACGACAGTCAGGGCCTGTGAAGTCTGCAAGAGCTTCACCATGGAGCATTAACACTGTATTCAGAGATGGAAAAGAACAAAACAAGGCAGCATTAGGATTTGACTTCTCACAGCCTCCCCCACTTTTTTTTTTTTTTTTTTTTAAGACAGGGTTGCATGTATCCCAAGCTGGCCTTAAACTTTTTTGGTAGCCAAGGATGGCCAGAACTCCTGATCCTCCTACTTGACCTCTCCAGAGCTGAGATTGCTGGCACATGCCAGAGATCAAAGCCAGGGTTTTGTGCATGTGAAGCAAGCATTACCAGTTCTTAGAGATTTTCAGGAAATATAAGAATCTGGTTGCAACAATAATCAAACACGCCCTGCACTCTTCGGGAGTTGATTTCAATTCACATGCTCCGAGTATCTAAAGCCCTAGAGCCTGGTTGCTGTAAGTCACATCATCCGCTATAATCAGATGAGGGAGTTTGTACTTTCCTCTCTGGCTGTCTGAGAAGTCAAAAACAACGGGTCGGCCACCACAGATGGCTGCTCTCAGGTCAACCCTTTGTTTCCCTCTGGAATCTTCTAGCACCCCCCACCAACTTCTGCTGTTTTATAACCATGAAGGCTTCATTTTGTGGATGTGTCCATGCAGGTGCAGGTGCTGACTGGTTTAAACATAGCTAACTGTGGGGATACCACAGAGCCAGAAAGAACTCCTAGGAACCCCCAAGGGGTCAATTAACCTGAACCAACCACTAACAGGCACTACCTGTAAAAGGCTGCAACTGCCCCTGTTCAGCAGTAAACACTGTCAATTTTATTTGTGGCTAAATTGTCTCTGCATGGTATCTGGATGAATTAACAAAGGAAGGCATGTTATCACACACTATTAGGAAGCCAATCAATCACAAGGCAATGTTTTCTAAGCAAATAACGTTGATGTGTCAGCATTAAGAAGGTCTGGTGTAGACCTGTAATTCCAGTATTCAGGAGGCTCAGGTAGAAGGATCATAACCTCAAGGCCTGATTGCAGTACAGAGGGAGTTCAATGCCAGCCTAGGTAACTTAGTATGAAGATGACAGAAGATGTGACTCAACAGTAGAATGCTTGCATGGTCCTGGGTTCAGTCCCCCAGTATTACACAAAAACAAACAAACAAAACAAAACAACCCCCCATACACACACAAATTAGCAAAGCTCAAATCATTTTTACTAGAAATAAAAATCCAAGATGGGTATTTCATGTCAGGTTCCAAATAAAACTATGAGACTAGGTCAGAAGTTATTTTGTCACTTAAAATGCAGAACTATGGCCAGACATGGTGGCAGATGCCTTCAATCCCAGCACTGAAGAGGAAAAGGCAGGCAAGAGCCTGAGAGTTCCAGGCCAGCCAGGGCTACATAGTGAGATCTTGTCTCAAGTAAATAAATATAAATACAGACCTTTGGCCACACCACTAGAAGCAGTATTTGTTTGTTTGTTTGACTTTTGGTTTTTCAAGACAGGGTTTCTCTCTAGCTTTGTAGACCAAGCTGGCCTTGAACTCACAGAGATCTGCCTGCCTTTGCCTCCAGAGTGCTGGGATTAAAGTCATACACCACCAACCAGTATTGGGTGAAGCAGTATTTTTTTAAGATTTATTTTTATGTGCATTGGTGTTTTGCCTGCATATATGTCTGTGTAAGGGTGTCAGATCCCCTGGAACTGGAGTTACAGACAGTTGTGAGCTGCTATGTGGGTGCTGGGAATTGAACCCAGGTCCTCTGGAAGAGCTGCCAGTGTTCTCAACCCCTGAGCCACCTCTCCAGCCCAGAAGCAGAATTTTGCCAAATGATATTAGCTGTGCATTAAAGGGCAGAGACATAGAAGTGATGGAAATTGTTCTTTGTCCAAAAGCCAATGAGCAATAGTACACAAACATGTTTTAAAAATACATATTCCAGGGACAAGCATACAGATTTGGAGGGTGTAACTTGGTTTTGGTTTTTAAAGCTGAATTAAGATTATTTTCAGATATATCAGCATCTTATTTCAGATGGGTCTGAGCAAAAAGTCAGACAGAAGGAACTTGAGGCTAGGAATTGTACTCAAATCACAACAGCCCTGTTTCTGGTTCCCTCCTTAGATTCTTGGGAAAGTATAATAATATATCCAGGACAGCCTATGTCTTTATGTATTGCTTATTATCTATGAATGACATGTACACTGTGTGACATCTTTCGTGACACCTCTCACCACTAAGCACTTCTGACCAGGCAACACAGACCTGGGCTCTGCTTCTATCGTTGCCTATTGTGTTTGGTTACATTTGTCTGGACACGGGCCACTTCTCAAGTTATAGTAGAGCCCAGAACTCTTCCAACGACAAGTCTCAGTGCTGAAGCAGCACCTGTGATACTGTCCTCTTGAGTTTTGAGGAACTCGGGTGGGACAGTGTTTGATGGCAAAGAACAGAAAACATTGGGCAATATTCAACAGCAAAATGGCAACAGCCATTTGCCAACAGCCAACAGGAAAATGTAAGGGAAAATTCACAATGGTGGTTCCACCTTTGTTTACAGTGTTTATTTACACTGGCCCTGGGCTACCTCTAGGACCTAGAATCTAGGTGTTATAAATTACAGGTACCCCTTTCCTTTCCTTTAATGGTATTGGTGCAAATACTTTAATGGAATTATGCAATTTGTTTTCTTCATAAAGTCAAGTGAAATATAAATGACTAACATGCAGTCATCTTGGACTTTTAGGAGGAATAATTTTCTATATGTGCTGCTTGTGGTTTATGAAGGACATTGACAGTGACTTACACAGTAGCTGGAGACCAACCTGAAATCTAATGAATTATTCTGGGCAGGAATGGGTCCCAGCAGCATAGGGGACTAAGGAAAAGGCTGGACTGACTCCTGAGACCTCTGGGGAAATTATTATCACCATTAAAGCTATATTCTAATCCTAACCTTCTCCATGGCCCACCTCCAACCTAGGACCAGGGCGAGACTGCGCATAGAGGAGAAGGCTGCGGTTCTCAGGTGGTGACAGGTGCGCTCCTTGTCCTGTTTTAAGAGCGAAAGATTTTGACCTTCCTGCAGTCCTACTTGGAAGCTGGCAAAAAAGCTTCTACGCAAGAGACAGGACTGAGGCAGAAAACGGGAGACCTCGGAACATACTACGTTCCTGGCCTCGGGGCTTATCCCAAACCAAAACTCCAGTTCCTCCGGTTCCAAAGGTGATGCGAGCTAGTCCCAGTGCAGCCGGGAGGTGGAAGAGGCAACACCGGGGCGCCTTCTGGAGAAACCCCGCTGTCAATCAGTCACTGGGATTGCGCCCCCAGATCCCTAAGCGAGTGGGTCTCGGTCTTTCACGGACCCAGGACCCCCAACCCCTACCCGGGCCGGCGTAGGGACGCTGCTGGCTGCACCACCGGGCGATCAGGATGCGGGGGCGCCACCCCATCGCTCCGGGAGCCCGGGCGGAGATCGGGGACCGGGAAGCGGGGAGTTGACTCCTGGAAACCCGGCTGGGTCTGCGGCGCCCCCCAAACCAGGTCAGAGCAGCAGAGAGCAAAGCATGGCAACAAGTGGCAGGC